TAACCCATCTGTGATGTCATCATTTTATGTAGCATTATTCAGAGTATTTTAACATTTTCCTTCCATTGTTGGTACGGGTCTCTCTCAGTTCATCTCAAATCTAAAATAGACAAAATTGTTAACACTGCAAATAAAATCGCTGGAGTCAGATTTGAATGTTTATCATCAATATATGAGCGGCAAATCGTGAATCAAGCTGTCAAAATCATATCTGACCGTACTCACTACTTAAATTCGGAATACAACCTCCTCCCTTCAGGCCGCCGCTACAAAGTTCCAATTGTGAAAACTAAGAGCGTCCGTACATCCTTTATTCCAAGTACCATATCTCTCTTAAACAAATGTGAAGATAGCTAAATCAAAGAATGTATGTAAATATGTTTGGTATCTCTCTCTAATGTGGCAGTAGCTCTGCTGGTGTAACACAAATTCTTGAAAAGGCATTAAAGTATTATTCTATTCTATTCTATTCTACAATTAAAGGTATTTGAGATCCGGAGTTGTTTGACAGCGTCCCCCCACTCGTCAGCTCGAGCATCTGCTTTCTTGAGTATGCTTTGAAGAGAATCCTTCGTCATAGCCTCATGCGACTTGACTCTACGATGATGGGGAATATTTAAATCAGATTTTCCCTTTGCTATTTCCTTAGTACAGTAGAGACAATGTGTTTTGACATTAACAACAGGAGTCTTTGAGCGCAATTTAGAAGCTTGGCTTTCAATGTCGGGAGATAGGAGATAGTGTCTTCTGCATTCCCCACGGACAACAAATGGTAACTTTGCCATGCTTTCTTAAAGAAAATGACTGGTTACCATCTCCTCTCAATATACTTGCTCGGACAAGACCATGAAGGACCTTTTCACGAACTTCCACACGATCAGTTGCAGTGTCTTTTCCACAGGTTGGAATTCCACATCTTTCTGTCATTATGTTGTGTTTATGTTGTTCTGGCAGTTTTAAACACTCACTTCAATTAAGTTCACCCAAATGCATAGATCAGCAGCAGAAAGTCTTTCTGAAATAAGAAAAAAACATATTATGGTTTGTCCATTTAAAGTCCCCAGCCATTTTGAAATTGGCGGCCATTTTGAAAATGCCACAAGACATGATATCAATATATTTAAAATCCCTGTGAGATGAGCTTTCATTTCATATATCACATGGCATAATTATTGACGAAATATCTGTTTGCATAATCGTTTTAATGATTTTGGCGGCCATTTTGAAAATGCTACAAGGTAGAATTTGCAGAACTTTGTATCTTGCACATGGCAATGATGTTCTGAAGCTTTCCTGAAAACTTCAGCTTTCTACTATTTTTTCCCAATGTTACCTATTGTTTGTGTCTAATGCTCCTGGCCTACATTCTGTACAACAACGATTGCCGGAGCACCAAGGATAACTGTTCAACAGTAAAGTTTGCTGATGATACTGCACTAGTCGCTCTCATGACAGACTCTGAAGAAGGTTATCGGTCTGAAGTCAACAAATTCACATTATGGTGTAGCAGAAACTTCATTCAGCTCAACACTAGAAATAACCAAAGAAATGATCATTGACTTTAGGCAAATTCAAACTGTGCCCCTCTGCAAATTCATGGTGAAATTATAGAGACTGTCACGGATTACAAGTGTCTCGGAACTATCACAGACAGTAAACTCACTTGCTCTCAAAATGCCGAGGCTATATACAAGAAATTCCAACAACGGATGAATTTTATGAGAAGGCTCAGATCTTTTAACACTGACAATGCCATTTTGAATGTTTTCTATAACTGCTGTATCCAATCTATTTTACTGTTCTCTGTTCAATGTTGGTTCGATGCCCTTTCTCTCCAAAACAAAGAGAAACTCCAAAAAGTTGTAACCACCTGTTCAAAAAAATTATCGGCATTAATTTTAACCCCCTTTGTCATTTGTATGAGAATCGTGTTTTAATGTCTGCGAACAAAATTTTATCCGACCCGTCTCATGACTTACATTCTTGTTTTAAACTTGTACATCTGGACGTAGATTCCTCGTCCCTAACGTTCGCACAAAAAGGTCCCAAACATATTTTATACTTGTTAGCGTTAAACTTTTAAATGACTGTTAGACTGAGCCACAATTTTAAACGTATTTGTCTACTAGTCTCATACAGTATACACTGGTTATTCTTCTCATCCTGTTTATCTGTGTGTTTTAAGGTGATCGTGTTTCTGTGCTTAATTTGTTTTAACCATGCTGTATGTCTAACTGTTGTGAAACGAATTCCTTTGTCGGGCAATAAAGTATTATTATTTTTTGATCCACTGCAAGTAAATTGTTACCAAATTTCAGTTTCTTTTCTATTTCTGTTTTAATCAGAGAAAAATTGTGTTACATGACCCAAACTGTGAAAAGAAAACCCAATGAATTATATACATCGGTTATACAAAATATGAAAAATAAAAATATATAATCTGTTTCTGCCATACATCCACGTGCACATGCGTGCGTCCGTATTTCCGTACGTGTACACAGTGAGAGAGAGGGAGAGAGAGAGAGAGAGAGAGAGAGAGAGAGAGAGAGAGAGAGAGAGAGAGAGAGAGAGAGAGAGAGAGACAGACAGACAGACAGACAGACAGACAGACAGACACACACACACACACACACACACACACACACACACACATACATACATACATTGTAGACAGAAAAACTTTGAAGAGGCAGTTCGTCGAACCTATTCATGTTTTCCTTGTAAACAATAGCCGATAACTCCCCGACCTTAAATTACTCGTGGAAAAATTACATTTAATCATAAAATAACAAATGCTTTGCAATTCGTTTTATTAAGTGCGAAGTGGAGATACAAGGACACGAGAGGGGGTGGGGGTGGGGTGGTGGGTGGTGGTGGTTGTTGTTCGGGTTGTAATTGATTGTCAGTACTTTTGTGCACACCAACTAATTCCCTTCCCGTAATAGTATTTTTACACTGTCTGACATGTTTGTAACACAATAGGCCACATGCCGCTGTGTTGGCCCATGACACTAATCTAGTGAGACAGACGCACTATTTCTCTGCCACCTAGCTGACCGGTGCGTGTCTGGCTGAGAAACTATATTTCACTAAAAAGTCAGGACATGGTCTTTCGAACGCTTAAACAATGTCACACAAGACATTAACGAGGGAAGTGATTCATGTGGTGATTCAAATGCATCGGACACTAATCCAGCATGACCGGTGTACTGCCCACTGTCCCTCCAGACTGACCGGGATATGACAAGTAGGAGACCATATCTCACTAGAAGTTAAAAAACAAGGAGTTAAGAAAACTGACGTGAAACAACACACTGGACATTGGCCACGAGGATGATTAATCTAGTGGACTTAGCTGGATCAACCTGCCAGATTGTTTGTGGCCAGTATGACGTTTAAGAGAGGGGGGTACGCTGGTTAAAAAAGGCAGCCAGGCCCCACTCTCAGGCAGATCCCAACCGAATCTCACAGACGACACTACCGCCAGCTAAGAGGGGCTCTCTGCCCCTCTCTGGCCGTCTCTGCCTGCCTCTACCTACAGCTGTTTGGACCCAGCCGGGACCATGCTGACCAGACCAGCCCTGTGGACTCTGTGATGGGACTGTGGACTCTGTGATGGGACTGTGACTGAAATAAATATTTCAATTCCTTGCAAACCTTTTGTTGTCGCCTGTTTTACTTTGTTACATGTTGGGTATTTTCAATGCTTAACCATGTAGATGAACTGTGTGCCAAACAACATAGGTAATTCAGTATTTGATGGGCAATGTTTAGTACCTGGGGTTTTACAAAAACAGGAAATAAAGGTAAACTGGGTGAAATAACAATTCATTAGTAGCTTCCGAAAAACCTCAGAAAGTTCCAACCACCTATGACTGGGAATATAAAAAACTCGTTTCTAAACAAACTTCACCAAACCTTGTCTTCTGTAAATATAATTCAACTTGTAATACATGCATATATATATCTGGTTAAAGCCAGAGTATCAAGTATTAATATCACGTATCTTGTTTCATACGTCCATGAGTGTCTTTTCATGATAATTCATAATTGTAGAAGCAAAACAATACCAAAATACATGGATAGTCCATGAATGTCTTCCATATAAGTGAAATTACTCAACTAACACTCGTCTTCACACCAAGTATCGGGCAATCACAGTCACGTACTGCACGTGCAGCACGCGCCGCATCACGTTGCAGTAGTGGCATGTGTGTACAAAACATGAGTGACATGTGAAAATCCAATTACTGTACATCAAATTCTGTAATTGTATATATATATATATATATATATATATATATATATATATATGTTACACATACATATACACATATACACACATATATACATAAACATGCACATACACACACACACACACACATACACACAGACATACATCGTTTTCATAAGTGGAGATACATGGACACGAGGGGGGTAATTATTTTCAGTACTTTTGTGCACACCAACTTTTTCCCTTCCCGTAATAAATGACCTATATATAACCATTTAGCTGACCAGGAGTAGCCAGCCCGACACTTCTAAGCAAGCGCGTACAGTGGTTCACAGCAGAAATGAGGGAAAGTCCGGCGTCTGTCGTTGAATTGATAATGAATTTAATAACAAACATTAATATGTGATGACGATGTAACTTCCCATGTGTTTTTGTTTGCTTAAAACGTACTGTAGACCTAGTTTTGAATATCGTTTATTATCGTACGTAGGTCTTATCTTAAACCAGACGACATATATATACATATATACATATATACATATATACATATATGTCCCACTGACCTTATTTTTGTTCACGAATGTAAATATAGGTCAATGGTTTGGTCGATTGATACCGCTGAGTGGAACGGATGTTAATGTAACCCAAATATGGATTTTTAGTGAGAGTCAGTGAGACAGCCTGTACAATCACATATACATGTTGTTATTCTGACATAACTGTTACCCCACAAAGCTGTAAACGTGCACGTCACTCAGCGAATTAATCATGTTTTGAAGTTACACATCACCCCTATTCTGAACATGGTATAGTCGCTGTCAGTGGGCAACATGGCGGACGACGAGGAAGGTGCGCCGATATCTGACGAAGAAATGGCCGAGGAAGACTCGATGTCGACAGGAGACGGCAGTAATGGTGCTAATAGTGAAGCTGAACAATTATACGAAGTAGAGCAAATAGTAGGAATGAAGAAAAATACAAACGTGAGTGACAACTGGCCTTGACATTAGTAACCTAGATGGCTCGAGCAGCTGCTCCGTGGACAATTTCAGCTGTGTTGTTAACCACTGGCGGAATGTCTTTGTTCACAAAGATGCTTTTCACCATTCATTCTAGTTCTGTTGATGTTTGAATTATCCTTCCATATAATTTATTTTATAAGTGCAGACTTAAATTTGCGAGTATTGTCAATTCATTAGCAAACCTGAGATCCAAATGGAGACCAGACTAGATTAAATAATGTGCAGTTTTCAGTTATGGATACTATTTTATAACACCATCTAGTTGAAATTATCAGGATGGGTATCTTATTACTCTTGTTTGATCAGAGACCATATCTATTATATGGTCTCTGGTTTGATCTAACAAAAAGGCATTCCAGTCTAGAACATTGTGCCTTTGCAGTAGCCGTGCCAATAACCATGACAATATTCTTCCTCTCATTTGACACAGATAATCTTGGCGTAAATTTGGTTGTATTTTATAGAGAAAATTAAGCAGTAATGTATTCTTATGATTCAGTATCACACTGACTTATCCCACATTATTGTCAAGTTCATGTTTTTTTGCATGTAAAAGGGTGGTCGGGTAGCCTAGTGGTTAAAGCATTCACTCGTCACGCCGAAGTCCCGAGTTCGATTCTCCACATGGGCACAATGTGTGAAGACCATTTCTGGTGTCCCCGTCGTGATATTGCTGGAATAGTGCTAAAAGCGGAGTAAAACTAAACTCACTCGCATGCATGTAAATATTTGGAGATAATCTCATGTTATATATAAGGACTCTTAAGTCATTACTTATCATGCCATATTTTGTCAGAAGCTGTATCAGCCTTAGTTAATGTGTGTTGACAAACAAACTAGTTGGTTAATGTACAACAAATTTGTTGCACATTAAAACAGTGCATGCATTTATGGCCTACTCCATTTACCTCCCTTGGATAATGAAAATGGAACAACAAAATAATGTAGCTCGATATAACGTTATGCATAGGTTACTGTATTGTAAAAGGTGCCTGACCTCTTGATGTGATATGTGTATTATTTGCATGATGTTTGTTTCATACCTCATAAATGACTTGGTCAGTCCATAAGAAATCAGTTTTATTTTGAATTCTGGACTTCAGTTTTTAATATCAAACAGTAAATCATAGATGGTAAGAATGAACATTACTATTACTGATGCTTCAGAGGCACATCAATACAATACAAGCAATACAATCACTTTGTTATCATTAGGAAGAGGTAGTAACTTCAACAACCTAAAACAGGAATTTATATAATCTAAATTGCCTGATGGATATAAAGGTAACTGGACAATCTGTACGCATCCAAACGTTTTATAGTTTGGCAGACTCATACACAAATGTTGGACCCCAGTGTGGCCCTTTTGAGTATTTTGTTTATTCAAGGGAGACAACTCTCTCCCTAGGATACACTATGTACAAGAAGAAGTGTGTTGTGTCATATGCGCCTGAGAAAGAATAATTACCTGACAATGGGGATGAAACACCTCAGGTACTGTGGTGCACAAGAGTGTTTGAACATTTTGTTAGCCGTATATATATCAATACTGAACCCTCCCAATTATCATGAGAAGAGTACAAAGCAGGCCCTCTCCAAGCCACATATTTAAAAAAAACATGGAGGGCAGCAAAAGGCAAAACAGCTGCCAGTCCAAATAGAAACAAGAACATTGGAAACTAACCCATCTACAGAACACTTGTTTACTGGGCATTTATCAGAAGACTGGTGAGAAGGGATTGAAAGGAAATTCTGATATTTCTGGTTTGTGGAGTCAGCATTGTCATTATTTAAGGGCACTGATTATCTACAGAGGTAGGGACAGAGCCCAACAAGCCAAGAGCCTCCCAAACCCTGCTAATACACCTGGTGGCTCCAGAGACCAGTAACACCAAATGAGGAAGAAATTTAGTGATGACTTCCTGTTCAACAAGTTCAAGGTATTTATTTCTTTACATGAGACCAGCAGCACGAGACCACATTACCATATGGAAACAGGTTAAGAAAAGTAGACAACAGTTGCGAATTTGGTGGAAACATAATCAAGCGCTGATACAAAAATCAGTCAACAAAGCTACATCAGTTTCCAGCTGAGTCTATGCATGTGGAAGATACAAGACCGCAGGTCAAACAGATTAAACTGGATCTGTTGTGAGGCAGTGGTGAGGACGAAAACCTATATTACAAGTGAGGGCAATGTGGCTGCTGTGGACATACAGGCACTCATGAATCTGGACAAAATCGCCCAGCATTCACTGGATATATGTCTAAGTTGATACCAAGGTATGCCAGGACATAGGGGACATCTGACGTAGCCGGATGTTGACGAAATGAAGAAAAGGCATTCCATGGCTTGAAAAGATGTATTAAAAATGACAGCAAGTGGCATTTTTTAATCCAAGAAGTCTCAGCAAGCTTCAACATATTCAATAAAAGACTATTGGCAGGCTTCTAAGAAACGGGAGAAAGGTTGCAGCCTACATCTTTCGGACTCTTGACACACACAGGGAAACAATATAATCAAACACACAAAAATGCACTATTGGTCAGATGTCAAAGAATTAATTCAGAATGCATCTATTGGGCACAGAGAGAATAAAGATTGTGACGATTCATGATAAACCACTGTTCGACAAAACACCAACAAAATATACGTCCCAGAATAGAGAAATGGTTATGGATATGCAAGATGTCCATTGTAAACTACAGGGAACAGTTATCAAAAGGGGACTCCTCTTCGGACATTTGGGGAGATCTAAAAGAAACAGTGTTGATGGAAAAGTATGTACATGACAGCATGGTAGAAATGGTCCTTAAGGTAGATGTATGAGTGACAGGTGACCACACGAAAGACCATCGCCATGAACCAGTGAAATCAACTGAAATGTCTGAGAAATCCTGGGATCCAGGAGGCTATTGCCATATGTGAGGCGTCGAGAAGATTTAATGTTTCACCCTCGGTTATTTACAGACTATAGGTTCGTTTCCAAACTACTGGAGAAGTCTGTGAATAACGCTGCCTTGGTTGTCCACAAATAACAACTCGTCGACAGAACAGATTCATTGTCATCACAGCGTTACGTCAAAGAACTGTCACTGCAAACGCCCTTAGAAGTCACCTCCAAAATGCAGACGTCAGTGTCTCAGTTCAGACCATCAGGAGCCGTCTGTGTAAGAGCAATTTAAGGTCATTTAAAGGAATTATCTTCCCAATTGCCTTAGCAATCCCACGACATTCCCCAGATCGGTGTCTAGATCTCCCAGGGACATATTCGTGGTCAAATGCAGCACGCGGGTGTATAAATGAGTTCCATGTCAAATGGTTGCAGCAGTCTGGTGTTAAACTCACCTTTAGCTTGCATTGCTACTATCAATGTATAAATTGCTGTGTTTGTGTTGCAAGTATCATTTCAATATGACTGCATATGTTTCTGGGGAAATAAATGTAATTATCATCAAAAAAAAGAAAAGAAAGCAATTTAAGGTCACAATGTCAAGCTGTACGTCCACCACTGCTTCCACATCACCGAGTCAACCGTTTAACATGGGCCAGACACCATTTGCGTTGGATCAGACGTCAGTGGAACAATGTGCTCTTCACTGTCGAGTTTAGATTTTGTTTGCAGTACAATGATGACCGTATTCATGTGTACAGACGTCCGGGCGAGAGATTTTCTGACGTCAACGTTAGGGAACGAAACAGGTTTGGCGGGGGGTCACTTATGGTGTGGGGTGGCTTCAGCAATGGTCACCGCACTCCTCTATTACATCCAAGGGAATCTGACAGCCATAAGGTATCAGGATGAGAATTTGCAACCCATCGTTATTCCAGCCCTAAACACCATTGGTCAAGCAGCCACTTTTGCAGGACGATAACGCACGACCACACCGTGGGGGAGTTGTCATTGACTTCCTGCAACAAAACAATGTCAACACCATGCAGTGGCCGGCCTATTCACCCGATCTAGTGCCCACTGAACACCTGTGGGACGTGTTGGGGCAACGTGTAAGGATCAATCATCTACCCCTGTAAACGCTGCGCAGTTGTTACAATTCCTGCAACCAGATTGGTTAGCTGTTCCCCAAGACACTCTGAGGAATCTTGTTGCATCGATGAGACGACGGTGCCTCACCTGCATTGAGAGCAGAGGGGGACACGCGGTACTAGAGAACTCTAGTTCCTGTGGCTTTTGAAAGTGACCCCTATCACGGTAAAAGGTGCATTGTGTCCATACACTTCTTGTGTTTGATCTCAATTCATGTGATTTTGTTTCTGCAATGAATTGACCATAACCACAATAAAATATGTTTTCATCGTATTATATGTGTTTTCTTTATAATAAAAAACCTAGGTGTTCCTTGGATTCTTTTGTGCAGTGTATATTGAGAAGCAGGTGAAAACTCTTTTCGTCTTGTGCACCATGTCTTTACCTAAATATGCACTGAGTGCAAGTAGGTGTGATTTCCTTAAATTGAACCCTGTCTAATGTGACCTTTCAGATCTGATATTCCAGATACTAATACAGAAAAATTCACACAAATCCTTGTGGCTCTAATTTTTAGAGAATGTTGTTTTACTCTGCCTAAAATGATGTCACATAAAAGAGACCTTTCCACAGATGCCTGCAAGTCTTTTTATGCATATCCTTCTTTCATCCAAGGGGTTAAGCATTAATCCAAATGGATATCTTATCATTTGTATCAATATTGACAAAAAAAAGATGGTATAGTCAGGATAGTTTAATTTGAAGAGAGCCATGTGGATGGGGTTAGAAAAGGCCACATGACTTTGATGCATATTGTTAGAGCTAGTAAATTGGATGAGTTAGTCAATGCTGATGGCTTAGTTGACTGTAGCATTGTGGTAACCCTGACAACATGGAATATTGTTTCTATAGTACTGATGGAAATAGAAAAAAACTGTTTTTAGGCTGTTACTCTGTATCCCTAAAATTGACACAACTGCAAATAGCATATGTCGAAATAACCCACTTCGGCCTAACTGGGCGTTCAGTGGGATGCGTAATACGATATCCAGAAAAGCATGTTTACTTTCGTAAAATCGGCGCAAAAACTTAGAAAAAAATACGAATAGCTGCTGAAAACAATAGATCAGACTATAGATGGCAATTAGATTTAGCTCTCAGCCAGGTATGGCGACGGACCGTCGACTCACCTGGCATGAAATGCACGCGATGCTGCCTACAGGCAAAGGGGTCATCTCAAAGATATTTTGTGCTTTTTCATGTGTGTTGACTATGTCTCATCTACTGATTAACATCTTACGTGTCTTTCTTTCATAAAGTTTATGTTGAGATATGTAAGAGAGTATGATACCCGAAAACCATAGAAACGCATCGTAGTATATAGGTGGCATGACCACCCGAAGATCGACAGGACTGGATATTATTTGTAAATTGTTATGATGTGCCGTGTACCTCCCCAGTATAATTACCCTAAAGGATTATCTTATCTCAGCTGATATCTCTATCCCCAAGCCCGACCCCAGGTTTTGCTTTTGAGGCAACCCCTCCTATCTGTTTCTTTTTATAGTGACAGTGAGACTGCATGGTAGCTACATCCTTAATAGTTTCGGCATAAAAGTTATTATTTTTTACGTCAGCTATCGTCTATAATGAATCTACGTCTAATTTCAAATTGGGCATTTAAAAAGTGTCCTTTGTAATACAATATCGTCGCACACTAATTTGCATAAAGTCATGGTCTGTTCCAAATAAGTCTTTTTGGACTTAGAAAAAACCCACATTGCTCATTTCTGCACTAATTTCCCCTCAGTAAAGTCCTTTTTCTCCGTTTCCTATCTCTATACCACTGAGACTGTAGTTAGGCCGATACTGGTTAAAGCGTTGGCTCGTCACGCCGAAGACCCGGGTTCGAATCCCCACATGGGCACAATGTGTTAAGCCCATTTCTGGTGTCCCCCGCCGTGATGTTGCTGGAATATTGCTAAAAGCGGCGTAAAACCAAACTCAGTCAGTCAGTCAGTCAGTAGTTTGGCCGAACTTCGTTTAACAGATATTTCACACTTTCACATATCAACTACATAAATTGTAGAGATAAATGAGAAAATACAGTTTTTTTCTATTTCCAACAGTACTATAATAACAATCATTGGTTTGTCTGGTCCTGACAAAATTCACTTGGTCACTTCACTTACTGTTTCAGGGGATAAAAGTGTACAAGGTTAGATGGAAGGGCTACTCAAAAGCATTTGACACATGGGAACCAGTTGAGAATCTGGAGAGCTGTCTGGACATGGTAGAGGAGTTTGAGGAAGTTAAAGAGAAAGAAAAAAAGAAGCGGTCAGATGAAAGGAAGAAAAGAATGGTAAGGGCCAACTTATCTTAGCTATATTTTGAATTTCTGTTCATACTTGTGCAGTTATTGCCATCTCAATCAAATATAGGTTTCAGTGAGTGTTGATCACCTGTACATTAAATAGGATCCTAATTTGATGAAAGTAATTATTTATTGATCACATCAACTATTTTGTGACCTTTTAATGAGGTCAAGGTCACTAGAGGTCACATGCCATGAGTTACAGAAAGTTTCAGTATATTTATTACGACCATAGCGGCTCACACTACTGAACTGACTCACACCATTGAATCGGCTCACACGACCACAATGGATGTCCCAGCCGAACCGGATCACATGGCTGAGCTGGATCATACAACCGAACTTGATTACACGGTCTAACCAGCTTACATAGTAGTGAGATCACGCAGCCGATCTGGATCGCGATCTCGTTCTGGATCACACAGCCGAACTGGTTCCCCATCTTGTTCCTGATCTCCTCAAAAGTTCACACCATCGTTCGAGGTCACCTAGCCGAACCAGTTCACACCAGCAGACCTTATCTCGTTCTGGATATCATCGGTACTCTGACTCTCCTATCTTGGCGGGATCTCTACCCTGTTCTGGTTCCCCTGGTCTAGTTAGGGCTTCAGTTTGGGTGGTTTCACCAAACCTTTCTGGTTCCCCTTTAAGATTTGTCCTACCGACACCACCAGACGTCCTGCCAGGCCTCATCCCGGACCCAGGAGTGGCTCAGAGAAACAGTGACTTATCGATATCCTGGTGCCACTGGGAACTTCTGCCTCCAGTCGTTCCGGTTTTCAGCTCTCCAGTTGGTGGGAGACTAGGAATCTTCACCCCGAATTGGTTCTTCCTTCAGGACCCGTTTGTCACCAACACTCTCTTACACAGTTACCTGTTATGGGCACACCACCTTTGATGCTCCACATGCTTCTGAGCTTCCAGACCAGCTCCCGATCCTGAGATCTACCATGGGTTTCGCTCTTAGACAAGTTAACAGTAGAGAGCCTCGGTCCATCACCCGTCACTCCATTTACTCTCCGACTTTTCTCGTACCAAAGAACAATTCCCAAAACTGCGCCTAATATTCAACATGAAATTGTTCAACGCATAGTACATGCTACCACCTCCCCACTTCAGGGTGGTGTCGATCGGGCTGTTTCGCACCATCCTGAAGAAAGGGGGTTACCTTATCAGTCTCGATCTGCAGGACACCTATCTCCACGTCCCGATCCAACTGGAACACCGAAGGTACCTTCGGTTCATCTTCGAGGGGACATGGTATCAATAGCGGGTCCGGCCATTTGGAATATCTACGGCCTTGGGCCACCAAACCGATCATATCTTTCCTTCACTCTCGAGGGATTGCCTTCGAGGTTGCATAGACGATTGCATCCAGTCCCAACGGGATCCAAGTGTCCTACTTCGACAGCTGCAGTTCACCACCCAGCTGCTTCGGCAGTTAGGGTGGCTGCTCAATCTAGGCAAGTTGGAACAAACCTGGAGACTTCAGTTCATCGGGGGAATGTTCGACACCTGTCTGCGATCCTGTGATGCTGGCTCGACAAACAACGTTTGCGCTGGACTCTGTGAGTCCCTTCGTCCTGGCTCATCATCTATTTGTCGATGCATCTCTCAAGGGTTGGGCTGCTCACTTCCTAGAACATCAAGTGTCTTCACATCAACTAGATTCTTTTTCAGAAGAAGTCCTCCTTGGGGTACATATAAGCATTTAAATGTCCATTTAAAATCCGAAGACAGTTGTAACTATATTTTTTAATTAAATATTTACAAAACAAAAACTCATTTTTGTCTGGGGCGATGGGGTAGCCTAATGGTTAAAGCGTTGGCTCGTCACGCCGAAGACCCGGGTTCGAATCCCCTCATGGGCACAATGTGTGAAGCCCATTTCTGGTGCTCGGTCGAGCCAGGCTTCTCGGCGGTTCTCGATCCTCTGTCGTCCGTGGCCCCTTCTTCTGTTCCTTCGGAGCTGACTCTCGATGTAGAGAGCTCTTGCCTGGAGGAGCGGGAGGAGGAAGCCATGGATGAGGATGGGGGTCGGGAGCGGCTAGGAACAGCTAGCTTCTCGCTTGGTTCGTCCCTGAGGCAGGTGCACGAATGCATCGCGGCTGTACAGCCTCAGGTGGTTGTCACCTTGGACGACCCTAACCCCACGTAGCTCCGGCTTCCCGGTGAAGCTTTCGCTCGTGTCTGGTTGCCGATACCCGGCTACGTATTTTACCTTCGCTTATCAGTGAAGTAATCAACCAACCCTTTCCTGTCAGGTAGTCGGTCACGGTTCGATCTCCCCGAGCTAAATCGGCGCTACTTGATGGGAGAGGAAATGTTGTTTGATCCCCCGGTGGTTGACGAGTGTCAAGCCGAGCCTCGGCTTGTCAGGGTTGACGCTTGCCGCCTTTCTCCTCCGGTAACAAGGTGCTGAAGTCGGTTTACCACTCCTTCGAGGAGCAGTACCGCAACGCAGTACGGCAGCTTCGGGTTACGGTTCACTCAGCCTAGCTCTCTGCCCTGCAGAGGCAACTGGTGGACCAGGAGGGCGTGGATGATCTTGTGTCGTTGTCCACGCTGGCACGGCAACTTACTTACTTACCTTTCTCCAGGATTCGTTGCACTCCGGTGCCAAACTCTCAGGAGAAGGCGGATATACTCTGTGCCGAGGTCCAGTCATTGCTGGACAAGGCAGACATCGAAATGGTTCCGGTGGGCCAGGAAAACCTGGGGTTTTACTCCACTTATTTCCTGGTCATCAAAAAGGACGGAGGGTTCAGACCCATTCTTAATCTCAAGGGTCTGAATGATTTAATAGAGGTGCCGTCTTTCAAGATGGAGACACTGCGTTCAGTGATCTCATCTGTAGAGGCAAGGGATTGGCTCACGTCAATCGACCTCAAAGACGCATACCTCCATGTACTGATGCACCCTGAGTTTTGGAAATACCTCTGGTTTTCCTTCGACAGGAAGTGTTATCAGTTTCGTGTGCTCTCCATCTCCACGGCGCCAAGGGTGTTCACCAAACTCATGCTGGTGCCAGCTCAGATCGCCAGGGCACAGGGCAACTCGGGTTACCCGTACCTGGACGACTGGCTTCTCAGGGCACTCGCTACCCACTTGAGTCGGGATTCCACACAGTCAGTCATGGATACTCTCACCAAGTTGGGTTGGATTATCAACCTCAAGAAATCAGATTTGGTTCCCACCCAGGATCTGGTTTTCTTGGGGGCGAGATTCGAGACAAAACAGGGCATAGTCTCTCTGTCTCGGGACCGCATTCCCAAAGTCCAGGGGATTGTGTTTCAATTTCTCCAGTCCCCCAGGGCCTCAGCTCGAACTTGGCTTCAACATGGCGTCGACAGTGGACATAGTTTGGCGTGCATGCCTGAGGATGCAACCTGTTCAGCAAGCGATAGCGCAGCTGTGGTCTCACTCAGAGAGTTACGAGAAGATTCTGGTAACTCCGGAGTGGGTCATTCCTCACTTACGGTGGTGGACCGACACCGGGAATCTATCCAAGGGTTTACTGTTGGAAACACCGGTGCCGACACTAACAATTCAGGCTGGGGGTGTGTCCTGGGCGACCTCAGTGCTTCTTGCACCTCTGTGGTCATCTCAGCGCTGGTTGCTGGTAATACTCAGGTTGCTTGTCTAGACTCCTGTACTATTACCAATGCGACCGGACCTACTATCCCAGGAAGGCACGCCACACCCGAATCCCAGGATTCAGTGGGTGGCTTGGCCTCTGTCCGGAATCGCCTCCAAGCGAACGGAATTCCTGCACCAGTTGCAGACACAATTCTGGCTTCTCGGAGGGATTCGACTAACGTACAGTATGAGGATAGGTGGGCCTGTTATGCGCGCTGGTGTGGAAATAGAGGGATTCTCGATCCCTTTTCTTCGACTGTAGTCGAGGTGTTGGACTTTTACAGTCTCGGTTAGAGTCTGGCTAAGCTGCATCTATTATCCGAGGCTACTCCGGTGCGTAGTGCAGTAGCTACCTCCAAGGCTTACGCTGCTGCTCTGCCCATTGAGGAGATCTGCTCAGCGGCATTTAGGAGCCGACCGAGTACGTTCATCTGTCATTATCAGCTGGACAAACACTCACGTGAGCGTGCTCAGTTTGGCCAGTCGGTTCTCCGCAGTGGACACAGTAGCACCTCTCAAGCCGATTGAGCTTTCCAGATTTTTACTCTGACCATTTCTGCACTTGGTGTTGGGTTTTTATCATCTCCTTTTTATCGATGATGGTATCTGGTGGTGGTTTTTAGTCCTGCTATCCGTTGGTGATCGGTTCCTTACTTTTACTTTCCATTTTACACGCTTGAACAGCTGTGCGCTATGGACAGTAGTTTGGTTTGGCGAGTTCCTGGTTTTTGCACCCCTCCGAACTTAGGTCGGGGTGTGTGGTTTGACTGGGGATGTAATATCCGATCAGCCAATCGGCATATAGGCTATGACAGTAGGGGTCCACGCCTTAGTCATGCCCCCCGCCTTGATTGACATCAGCAGTCAGGGGACTAGGTGAGTGTAATTTTCTCTATTTCCGTACAGTTGTAGACTGTTACTATCTATGGATCACTTTGTCAGACAGAAAACCACTCCTGGCTCCTTTTTCTTTGGGAGTCTGTTTAATGCTTATATGTACCCCAAGGAGGACTTCTTCTGAAAAAGAATTATACAAACCTGTAGAGGTTATGAATTCTTTGAAGAAAGTCCTCCTTGAAGTACGGCCACCTGCCTCCCCTCATTCTGATACGTTCAGTATGAAAAGTGAGGTGCGAGGTTGACGGCTAGAGTTACCTGCTCTTGGCTGTAGGGGGCCCCGAGGGGGCCCTGTAGGGGTGGTCTCACAAGACAAAAATGAGTTTTTGTTTTGTAAATATTTTATTAAAAATATAGTTGCAACTGTCGTGGGATTTTAAATGGACGTTTAAATGCTTATATGTACCCCAAGGAGGACTTTCTTCAAAGAATTCATAACCTCTACAGGTTTGTATAAATTTCTAGCTGTAATTTTGTCCGACAAGCACAAGGAAGAGTTGTGAGAGACCT